AGATGGGAAATATACTTTTTGACAATATCAATGTTATTGTTTACCGTTTGTGTACAAAGTTTGCAAAGTTTAGAAGTAATATATGCAATAAATGCTGGTGGAGATACACATACTGACAGTTATGGAATTCGTTATACTAGAGATCCTTTAATGAATAAAGTTGGAACTGCATCTGACTATGGCAAACAGTTAATTATTGGTCGAGTAAATACCATTGACCAAATTTTGTATCAAACTGAACGTTATCATCATAGCACATTTGGATATGATATTCCAATAAATGAAGATGGAGATTATGTTATGATATTAAAATTTTGTGAAGTTTATTTTAACTCTCCTAATATGAAGGTAATATTAAATAAAAATTTTATCTTTATATTATAATGCTTGTTGAATATGATTTTAAATCATTATATTCTTTAGGTATTTGATGTTGTATTAAATGGAGATCATACTGTTGTTACTGATTTAGATATCTTTGAGAGAGTTGGACGTGGTATAGCACATGATGAATATATATCATTTAAAGTTCAAGCTGGAAAGTTAATATATAATGATGAAGAATCTGATATATTAGCTGGAAAAATTAGAGTTGAATTTATAAAAGTAGTATACTCATAATATTTGATATAATTCATAATATTTTATTCATTTTATATAATTTACTGAAATATTAATTTTAATTAATTAATTGTAGGGTTATAGAGATAATCCAAAGATAAATGCTATTGCAGTAGTGAAAGGAAATATAGAAGGTATTATTTGAATTATTGTAATGCTTGTAAACTTTTAAAATAAATGTAACAATTATTTTTTAATATTTTTTTAGATATACCACAATTGGGTCCAATTCCTCAAGAACCAGAAGAATATCATAATATACAAGAAGATGAGGAAGAATCTACAGTTCGTAGTCGACATACAAGTGGTCCTAGAACTCCAGATCCTTATTCAATTGATGATTCTTCAGTAATGTTACCAGTCTTTGTAGCTCTTGGGGCATTTATTCCTTTATTATTTTGCCTATGTAAATTATAGGTGGTAAAATTTTGCACATAAATGCCTTGTACTTAAAAAATATAATTTAATCAGCTTAGGTAAGCGTGTGGAAATTTGCCTATGTTGATTGTGTAAATAGTGGAAATATTTTTGATTTTAAACTGTCATCATTTATTATTAAAACTGTTTATAATTAATTTAATCAAATGAACATATCTATATATGTTTTTGTACAATAAATAATTTAAATTAGGAATGAAATTAAAGATATAGAAAAGGTGAAAAGTTGTGTAATCATGTGATTTTTGTTACTGTTTTAATAATGTGTTCATTCGTGATTTATTTAATTTTTATTATTAGATATGGAATAATTATTTGCACAAAAGTTTACACATCACCTTTTCTTTCACTATTTGATTTTGGATATACTACAAAGAAATATATATTTATAATTATAATATATATTTATTTTAGAGAAAGCTTATAATTTAATATATGTCTGGAATTTTGATTACCAGAAATTTTGATTTTCAGAAATAATATTACAGAGAAATTAAGGAAAAATAATATGTAAAAACATATAGTACAATAAATCTAAGTACTTTATTTTACTACATGCACATAAAATGTTATAAATGAATTTTATGATTAATTTATTATAGAAAATTAATGAAATTAATTTAATTATGTTTCGGATACCTTTTATGTAAAAAATTTAATATACTTTTATACACTTTGTTAAAAATGAAAATGAATCTAACAGTTCAGATAAAATATCAAAATATCTCAATTTTTTGCAAATTAGAAAAAATAAAGCTGTTATTATTATCCAATAGAGTCATTTTTTTTTAATATATAGTCTAATTTTTATAGTCTCCTTATATTTTTGCTCATATTTTTTTTATATTTTATATAATATTAATTTTTATACATCAATTTAATTATTCTTTCTTCCTATTTCTTCTTATTATCATAAATGACAAATATTATTTATTATGTCATATGTTAAGAAGAAATAAGAAAAGGATAGAAATAAAGTAAAAATTTGGAAAAATATTATTTTGTAGAATTTCATAAATAAAAAAAGAATTGGAAAAAAAGAAAAAACAAAAAAAATTAGAGAAGAATAGATATAAAATAAGAATTAACTGCTAGCACCATCTCTTGACGAAAGACATAAGAAGATATGAAATAACAATTGAAGGTCAACATCATCTTTCGAATCTTCTATTTTATCTTACTTTTTGAAAGATTTGTTGATCAAAAGATAGCACTAATAGTTAATTCTTATTCTATCCTTCTTATTCTTATCCTTCTTCATTTTCTGCTTTTATTATGAATTTCATTTGCGCCAGTCTGAAAATGATGTTGAATTTCAAATTTTTATTCTATTTCTATGTTTCTTATGTTCTATTATTTGTTTTCATTCTTATTCTGTGAAATTTATGCATTTAAGAAATGATTTTGATATTTAATGAACTTTTCTTTGTTTAGTCTATTGATTTAAAATTTCAATAGAATCTATTCTATTTAATTTTTATATTGTAATATGAAAACATTGTATATAAAATATTTATGTGCTTATCTATTTTTATATATATTACACACATATTTTAATGTGAGTATAAGGTTATTTTAATAATTTTCGGACTCATTTATATAAAGATGTATTAGATGATAAGAATATTCTCTATTTAGTCTATGGTGAAACAAAGTTTTACAAATCTATCTTATATCTCTTATATCTCTATATATTTGTAATTAGATCTATTTTATATATTGTCGAAAACGATAATACGAATAAAACGAAGCTTGTGAAAGTGTCATAAGAAGTCAGTATCGCAAATCCACCTCAGGATGCGGGTGATGATCGATCGTATGATTTGCACCGATGAACAGAAGAAAGCACTTACAACAAGTTCAATTGACCGTCGAGTACTGCGAAAGGTAGTACATATGTGCATATGTGTACGTACGACTGGCCTGTTCTTAATGGGAATAAGCTCATTCATCCTATATGAAACGGAAGATCACGTGACCTCTGATCGTCTAGGCCTTTGATGTATGGTCATCACTGGCAATTAGCTGTCAATTCAAGGCCGTGCTTATGCATTCGAAACCCCGAGCCCTAAGTCTCGAGTGGCAATCATCCCTCGGGAAAAAGAATCTAAAAACTGCGACTTTGTATTTTTATTTGAGATATATTTGACTGGTCTTAATTTTTTCTTTTAATTTATCGAATTAATGATTCATTATTCGTTTAAAAAAAATATTTATTAATTTATTAAAATGTTTGACAATTTTCTTTTGATACTATCCTCAAAAATGTACAAATAAATATAAATAAATAATAAAATGATAAATGCACTGAAAATAAATATTTTTAAAAATTATAATGATAATATATCAAAAAATCTTAACGATACGAACATTTTTAATTTGATCGATATCGATTGATAATGATTACTTTAAAAACAAGAAATATAATGATTTTAAATGTATATTATAACAATGATTATATAACTTAATTTATAATTTAAATTACTTGAAAATTTTTAATGATGTAAAAAAATATGTAATATAATATGTAAATATAATTCATTGTTTACTTTCTTTTTTACAAATATATTTATTAATTGTATTTATGTGAAAATCAATCAAAAAATATATTACTTCATCATAATGGATTATAAAATAAATTATAAAAAAAAATAATTCATAATTATAAAAAAAGAGTTATTCTCAGAATATCATAGGCTGACTAATGCGATATACTTAAATAATTTATTGACGAAAATGAAATTTGGTCTATAGCAAAGTTCAGAATGATAATTCAATAAAAGATAGAAAAAAAGTCGATTAAAACGATTAAGAATATCAATATCAAAATTTTTTCAATAATAAATCGAACTGTCATAAATAAATAAATAAATTTAAATTATAATTACAATTATAATTATAAATTATAATATATTTGTTATATTTTATAGAAGAATTAATTGAAATTATATACCATTAATTTTGAAATCAATAGAAAAAAATTAATGTAAAATATTATTTATTCACTTAAGAAAAAAATTGTATACTAGATATATTATTACTTTTTAAAACAAAAAATAAATCATACTTGATAATAGTTCTGATAATTGATTTAATATTTATATAATTATTATAATATAATTTTATATATATTATAATTTAATATATAATTTTTATAATAAAATAAAATTGATATTATTTGGCTATGACACTGGATTTATAAATATCAAAATTTTGACTTAATTGACTAACACATTTTGACTTAATATTGTTTACCTTCGATTTTCATATTATAATATATTGAGATATTCGACATAGTATTACAATGCAAAATATTTTGCTTATTTATAAAAATATTAAAAAATATTTCAGATACAAATTTTCAAGGAAAATATTATTTCATAGGAGATGGCACGAGGAATTTTTTTAATATTTTCGGTATAAAAATAAAAATTTCATTTATAAATTTTTATGAAATTTTATATACTTATCTCTTGCGACAATTATTTTTTAAATCATTTTTTTTAATTATAAAGATACTTATCTTTTACATATTTATTTTTTACAATAAAAGTTATTTTTTTGCAGTATTAAATTTTTTCCAATAATTTTTTAATTTTATATAATTCAGGAATATGCTAAATGGTTTTATATCTGAAATTTCATTTATTTTCTATATGAAAATCCATGTAATAATATGTAATTAAATTAAATTATAGGTACAATTTTTTTCTCCTTTTTTAATAACAATATAAGAAATAACATAATATAATATAAACATATAATATAGATATTTATTTAATTAGTCATTTTCATTAATCTAATTTCTTCTTATAAATCTGTCTTTTCGCAATTCAGTATCATAATTCGTGTAACTACTTTAACTAGACAATTAATGTAGCATATTAGGAAATTGTATCAATGAATTGTGATTGCCGATTATTAGTACTACAAATGTGGATAGAGAAACTAGGAAGACAATTGTTTCATTCGTAACTCGAGGAAACTTGATCGAAATTAATCAGGTATATTAATGTTTTTTCCAATAATATTTTATAGATGATTAATGTTGATTTCAACATTATCATTACGTAATTCAACAAAGATTCCGAAACAGGAACTGGATTGTTTCGCTGAAATAAATAATAGAGTTCGATGGACAGTTTATTCCGGTCAGACTCAGAAGTGCAACAGAACTGTCTGTGATTTTAATAAAGCACGTACCAGATGTATTAGTGGATAGAGTACGTATATGAATTCAAGTGGATGCCACTAGCTTAATCGTGAAATGTGACTTGCGTTGCCGAGCTACATTCAACGTGGCCGGTACATTTTATTGGCTAGCTACGCCAATTCTAATGCAGTTCTTCTCGTAAAAATGTAGCGACGTACACGGTCTTTTATTCGACGTACATTATTCCATTAGCTTATTCAGTTTTCTGTTAATGTAAATGATAGCTAGATTGGACGAGAGTTTTATTATGGTTTGATTCGAAGTTGTTGAAATGGCGCCTTAACTCTTATATCATGTATGTAATAAAACATAATATAAATATAAATAAGAATATAGAAATAAAGAGTATAATTATATATTTGCAATTTTCTGTTAACAAGTAAATTAAAAATAACTTACGTAGTGGGTTAATTTCGAAGTTATCGAAATGATATTGATTTTTCATTTTTGCTTATATTATTATTGCACATATATAATAGAATAAATATTCAAAATCAAAATTTAGAAATTGCGTATAATATCCATTATTATTTATTTCTAAACTTTATTAAAATTTAATATATATTGGTGGTCGCTTTAAATTACATAATACATTGTGAGGTTAAAATTGTTGTATCCGCAGATGAGACATCTAGTGGTGAGATTTGATTCAAGCAACGCTGAAACATTTTACTTTAGTTTTAATATTTACAATTGAATGTCATTTGATACCAAGAAAAAAATATATATTCTCTATTTAATATCACTAATCGTTCTTCGCATCAATAAGATCTTATATACTGATTATTATCCAGATATATAAACGGATATATCTTAATAAAAAAAGACGAAAAATATCTTGATTACAGTGTTATATGATTAACATTGTCTTACGAGATATCTCACATCATACAAGAAAATTAATTATACTAATTAAACTTCTTCTATAAATTTTGGAAAATGCTATAATAATTTGAGTTTATTTATAAGATTGCGAGGATTGCGAATCTATGTAAGTATCATTCTAATTTTTCTTAATGTAAATTTCAGAAAATTTTTTATGCATTATTATTTAAAAATATATACTTCGGATAAAAGATTTAGATATTAAATTTATATATTATATTTAAAAAATGTAAAAGTTATCTTCTTAAAATAAATTGAATATCATACAAATAAAAAAATGAATATTTTTTTTGAAGCTTGTGCAACTTTGACCTAAGATATACTTATAATCAGTAAACTATAAATGTATTAAAATCAAATTTATATAAATTCAATTAAAAAATAGAGTTTATAATTAATAATATATAATTATAATTTATAATTAATATATATATATTTATATTAATATATAATTATATATAATATATAATTTATAATTAATTTATATAAATAAATGTTTATTTTATTTTTCAAAATATAAACATAAATATATACAATGCATATTATAATTTAAAAATACTTATTATTTTTTTATAGTTCTTTTTTATAGTACATTGTGTAGATTTTTAAATATTCAAATTCTATATAAATGCTTTCACAGTTTTAATTATTAATAATTAATAAATTATTAAACTGGAGATATTTATATAAAGAATGAAAAGAATTTGTTCATTATTAAAACATTATTAAAAACATTTTATATATATTATTTAATATTGTTAAGAACTTATTTATTTTTTGTTCAATCTATGTTAAGTTATATAAACTATAAATTAATAATGAAATTTCGTTTAACAAAAATAGATGAAATTAACTGAATTCAAAAAAATTTACTTTATAGGATTCAATTATTTATGTTACTTAATCTTATGATTACTAATATTCATAAAAATTAATGTTTTATTTTCTGTATTTACAAGATAATACAAGTTAATTTTAAACTAACTAAAAAAGTAAAAAACAAATAAGATTTGAGAATACATATACATAATTATAAATATTTTAAATTGAAAAATATTGTGAAAATAATATTCATATAAACTCTATAAAAAGGTATAGATAATTTAATGTTGTAAACTATTATGAGACTATTACAGAACTATCACATCTGCACAGAACAAAAAGCTTCCTAATTAAGGCATTCATAGAAGGATTAGGAATTTATATGGTCAAGGTTAAATTCTTCTTAAATGTATTTTTTTGAAATATTTATAAAGATTTGAAAATAATTTATTTAGATGTGAATTTGTTTTCTCATATTTATTTTTACATATTATTTTTACTTTTAATAAGAAATTCAAATCTTTGTGTTAAAATTAAGTAATATTTGAAAATATAGGTTATTATTAAATATTTTCCAAAATATTTATATACAAAGGTTTATTTTATTTACTAAAAACGAATTTATTAAAAATAACTTTTTTTTTAAATATTTCTGTGCAATCAAATTCGAATTCGAACGGAATTTTTTGATAAAGATTTTTAGTACTTGCAACCGAATTATTTGATAAAATAAAGCACATCAAATTGCTATAAAAATAATGATTAGTTATTTATTAAGCAAACAACAATATTATATATCGATGAAATGATGAAATAATATAATAATTAATAAAATATTATCTCTTATATCTACTTAATAATTAATATTTACATCAATGACCAAATGATTATTTGTATTTTGTACATTTACCTTATGATATGTATACAATGATATGTATTTCATCCTATCACTACGGTAAATCATATTTTTTGTTTCTGATCTAATCTTTTCCATCGATGTTGTCGATGTTGATAATTAGCAAATTTAAATTTCTTTTTTACAATATTTCGGCTACTACAATAATTCGGCTAATCTATCGGTAAGAGAAAAAATGCAAAGGTGTTGGTAAAATGATAAAGCGGAATCGAGTTGTCGCGTCGTTGGTCGAATCACAGGTCGAATTTACAATAATCTCGTTCGGTACTTGTCCTAGTCGATTGTAGTCGATAAATGTTTGTGTATGAATTCACCCATACGTATGCCACAAGTACTCCCGACAATCTTATAAAAGCGGCAGTTATCGCAGGAGCAACTTATTCGCTACTAGCGACAGCTACGTGGAATACGTGTAGTATACGCCACTTTTCCTCGTCGCGCGAAACAATCAACGAGTAATATCGAAAATGGTACAATTCGAGGGTAAATTTCAATTTGTTTCACAAAACAACTTCGAAGAGTTCGCGAAAGTTCTGGGTGACCAGAATCTAGTCAATACGGTCTTACAACCGAGGCCCTCCTTCGAACTATCGAAGAATGGAGACGAATGGACTTTCACTTCTAGCAATGGAGATAACACCTATACTAAGACCTTTAAGACGAACGTACCCTTCGAGGAAACATTGCCATCTCTTCCTGATCGCAAATTTCAGGTTTGTTTAATTCATCATAAAACAATATAGATGCCGTTTAACGAATCAACAAATTGATGAAATAAATCAGTTTAAATCTAATAATTTTTTCGTTAAGGATAGTTTAATGTGTATAATCGAAATATTACTTTTCTCGACATATATTAAATTTTTTTAACTTTTATATTTGAAATTAAGAAATTTTAATTTTAATTTTATTTTATCAATTCTTTATATATCATATAAATATTTTCAATTTTTATAATATAAAGTATTTTAGTTTTTAATTATCTTCGAACAGTAACTTTATAATTTTCTATAATAACAGAGTTTGATTGAATTTAAAGATTAAATCTTCGATAATAAATTAATGTTTCTTTTGTATAATAAATATAAAATTTATAAAATTTATCCAATATAACAATAAACTGAATTAATCTTTAAGAAAATATTAAATATTAAAAATTAATTGTATTTTTAATAAAAAAATTATTTCATTTTCAATACAATCTATTTAAAATAGATTAGAAATTTTTTTATTGATATATATATATATATTTGATATAATTAATAATTTTTCTTTAATCAAGTTTGCATTTTTTCCTAATTATTTATTTTTTTATAAAGATTTAAATCAAAAATTTAAATCAAGTTATAAATAATTTTTGTTATATCATACACATGTCTATAATCTAATAGTGATGACAAACATTTTTTTATCAAATGTTAATAACTCATATTTTTTTCTTTATTACTATTATAAATCGACAAGCATCGCAAGTCATACTTATCAATAATACTTGATTATTCTATCTGACATAATTGAAAAAGAATAGTCTATAATTAATTTGTAATTTGTGGAATATTTTAATATTATTTGATAAATTTTATAAAAAAAATCCTTTTAATAATTATATTGAAATTTCTGAAAAATTATGTATGAATATGTATGTAATATATTTACAAAAGAAAAATATGAAATATAATCTTTTTCTTTATCGTTGCAGACCGTTACATCTATAGAAGGTAACGTATTCAAAACGGAAACGCAAGTAAACGATTCGCTCAAAGTCAGCCGATTGTATGAATTTTCAGATAATGAATTATTAGTGGTAAATATTTTTTTCTTCTTCCTTTTCTCTTTTTATCATAACAATGAATGTTGTTATATATTTAAAAAGGTCAAACAAAATTTTAACATTATTTTTTTTTTAGCATATAAGTACAAACAAGAGCGATGTCAAGGCAACACGTGTATACAAGAGGGTTTAAACACAAAAATATTTAGATAAAAAAAATATAAAAAAATTCATTTATCTTAATTGAAAATAAATCTTAATTGAAAATTTTTTCTTTTTTCTTTAATTGGAAATTTCCTAATTATTTTCACCTATTATCAAAAGTTCTTTATGACAATAATTTAATAATTCTTTGATATTTTAGATATATTTTTTATTAAATCATTCATAAAAAAAGAACTTTATATGTACTGTATACAGATATACAATACAATACATATATGTGTATAAATTCATATATACAATACACTATACTATATGTAAATAAGAGAATCATTTATTTTTATTTTTAAATATACTTATACATTTAAATATGTGAAAGAAAAAATTATTTTTAATTAAAATATATTAAATATTTTTTAAATGATACTTGAATTTGTATTATATTTAAGAATTATTTACTTACCAATTTCATCTAAATTATTAATTATTAATATGATCTGCTTCATATAAAATATATATTTTAATTACATGTAAGATGACGTAATATAATGAAAAATAAAATTATAAAAAAATATTGTTATATCTTTAAAATAAGATTAAAAATATTATCAGATTTTAAAATTTGTTCATAATATTTCGGTATCTTTTTAATCATGCTCCTAACCTAATTTTCGTTTCGAAAATATGTGTTATTTTATACAATATGCGAGGAATATTGAATTAGGTATATAATTCTTAAAAAGATACAAAATTAGGAACAAAAAATTTTATTTTATCCAAAAGATAATTAAATAATTAAATGCTTATATAAAAAAAAAAAAATGCTTTAAAAACAGAAAGAATTGAAAGGCTAATATACAGGTTGCTAACACCCTGTACATTTATGTACAATTTATTTATCTTGAATACATTAAATCAAAATTGGTTAAAAGCTATAAAAATACGGATAAATACCCCAACTTGACGTAATTTTTATTTAAGAATTTTTAACACAACAAATGCATAATAATATTGTTCGTATCTCTTCAAGATTTTAAAATCATCAATCATTTATCATCATATTTATTTAAAACAAGTATTAACGTTTCGTTAAATAATACACGTATTTTTACTATAAATAATCAAATACAAAGAACAATGAATTTATCTTATACGTATGTTTACATAAAAAGCCTAAGTACTTTTATAATAAAAAAAAAAAAAAAGAAACGAAAGAGATAAAATGGGGAAAAGATTGAAAGGAGAGATTAAATAATTTTTTTTTATACCATAACATTATTTTGGCAGTTATAAATTTTTTTGAATTTTTCTTCCTAATATTATTTTAAAATTGCATTTACTTCTTTATTATTCGTATTTTATTCGTTTAATGATAAAGATTAAATATTCCATTTTTGAATAATAATCAATTGTATCATTAAACGAAATGATTTTAGTTAAGATAAAGAATTCTTTTTCTATATTACGATTATTCTCATTTTTTTTTAAATCCTTTTCTTTTCATCCTTATCTCTCTTCAGATAATAGTTAGTTGTTATCATTTTTCTTAGATTCCCACATGTTATACATACATAAATTGTCCTTTCGTTTCGATATTTGTTCGAATTTATTTAATATAATAGGTATCACATTAACTCATAGAAGTGCTATACATAGATGGATAGAGAATACATAAGAATAGTATTAATGAATGACGAGTTTATAATATTCTCTCGCAGTATACTCAACTTCGGAATAGGAACAAACAAAAAAAAATAAATATATATGGTACCTGTCGTTCGCGTTTCTTGTATGTGGTGTTTGTGGTATATGCGCGTATGTGTATGTGTCTACATGTGTATATATGTTTTTTTTCAGTACGTATTTGTACATACGTGTGTAAGGTCTTCTTCATAAAAAGTACGACGATTAATTATTATCAAATATAATGCACATATAAAATTAAAAAGTATAAAAAACCGTCCAGCTTCGTGTTTTACATTAAGAATATGTTAAGAAACCGACTCGTACGGTTAAACGATGACGTAACATTCTATGGATCCCGAGTTTAAACTGTTGGCGACTTGATGAACCTGCGCTGCGTGTATATTTATCATGTTTACAGGCCAGTTACAGCACCACATGTGAATATTTCTTTTTCGGCTAAATATCTCGGAGACCGCTTGGAAACGTTTATCCATTTATTTACAAAAACAATTGATATCTTTCTTCTCGCATTTAGTTCATATTTCTTCTTCCACTTCCCTTTTCTTCTCTTTTCTATTTTGCTTTGTTACATTATTCTTTACTTCCAGCACGATCGAAGCAGTCAAAAGCGAAATAACATATATTTTGTTTTTTCTTTTTCTTTTTTTTTTTAGTTTTGCATATCCTTTCTTACACACATCCTTACTCTCTCTCCTTTTTTTTTTTTTCTTTCTTATCATTCATTCTCTTTCATTCATTTCACATTCACTCTTTTCGCCAATATAGATAAACAGACTCATTACTTCGGTATACATATACACATTAATATATTATATTTTATATTTTACGCTAATTATAGTAAAAACTCCTTCCGATTCGTTATATATTTCCTAAGAAACTACTTTTTAGCGGATGTTCTGTATCTCTTTTTTTTTTTTTTTTTTTTTTGGTTAAAGAAAGAACAATGTTTATCGGTGCATGACATACGATCGACATAAAGCTAAGATTGAAACCGATCTCGTTTCCCGCCAATTCAATCAGAGCTCATGATTAATTGATTATCATTTGGAGTGACCACGGGTGATAGATCTTTTTTCGGCATGTCATCGATTATCGTATTTATCTCAACATTCTCAGATACGCCATTTTGCAAAATTTTTCCTTTCTCACCAGCTGTTTTTCCGCTCAACGAGGTCTTCGAAGTTTTTGATACAGGCGTAGATTTTTTCGTAGGGGATGCAGCCGTGGTAGTTTTTGCTGTTAAGGATGCGCGTTTTATCGTAGTCGTGCTGGAACTAGTAGTAGACAAACGAGAAGTCGTCTTAGAAGCAGGTGTACTTGTCCGCCCCATGGAAATTTGTTTATTGGCTGTTTCCTTCACTTGTTTATCGATCGCCGGTAACTTATTGAGTGACATGCGAGGTTTCGATGCAGTTCCACTAGATGGAGGAGCTGTTTTGGGCCTGCTGCTAGTTGTTGTACCGATGGTAGTCGTAGTACTGCTGGTTTTTGCAGTCGTGCTTAATTTGTTGGCAGAAGAGGATCTTACTTTTGGAACTGTCGTTGTTCCAGTTGATGGTCGTGTGGAAGATGTTTTGACTAGCGTAGTTTTGGTCGCTAATGGTGATGCTTTACTGGAGGATTTGGTTGCAGTTGCTGTTTTACTTAAAGATTTAACGTCACCATTCGCGGTAGGTTTTTTGTCAGTAACAGTAACCGATTTTGAAGCGGTTGTTGCGATAGGTTTTGGTTTAGAGGTTGTGCTTACACTGGTTTTGCTAGTTGATTTTGTTGCAGTAGTTGATGTCGTTTTCGAGGCGGATTTTGCAACCGACGGTTTACTGATTGCTGTAGAGGAAATTGTAGATTTCTTTGGAGCGTCGAGATCTTTTGGACGAGAAGGTGTCGTTGTCGATGGCTTCTTCATTGCTGCAGTTGACGTTCGAGTTGTGGAAGATACAGTTTTTGAGGGAGATGTTGGGGTTGATCTCGTTGGAGTTGCCTTTGAAGTTGTAGTTTTCGTCGGTTTTGCAGCAAGTGTTTTCGCTTTCGCTTTACTTTGGGCTACAACTGCACCTGCTGCAACTGCTGCAGTTGCGGTTGCTATTGCAGCTGTTTCGACGACTTTGTTTTCTGGAACTTCAGCTACTTTTTCTATTTCTGGTTCTTTGACTTCTGTTTCTTTTACTTCTGGTTCTTTGAGTAGTTCCTTGATTTCTGGCTTTTGACTTGAAACTTCAATTTCTGGTTCTTTGATTTCAGGTTCTTTAATTTCTGGCTCTTTGATTTCAGGTTCTTTAATTTCTGGTTCTTTGATTTCAGGTTCTTTAATTTCTATCTCTTTGATTTCAGATTCTTTAATTTCTACCTCTTTGATTTCAGGTTCTTTAATTTCCGATTCTTTGATTTCAAATTCTTTGATTTCAGATTCTTTAATTTCTAACTCTAATTCTTTGATTTTATGTTCTTGAATTTCTGGCTCTTTAATTTTGAATTCTTCAATTTCTGGCTCTTTCATTTCGAATTCTTTAATTTCTGGTTCTTTAACTTCGGATTCTTTAAATTCTGATTCTTGGATTTCCACTTTTTCAACTTTTGGTTCCTTTAATTTTAATTGTTCAATTTCCACTTCTTTAATTTCAGATTCCTTAACTTCTGGAAATTCTTGAACTTCTTTCTGTTCTTGTACCATATATTCAGTTTCGACTACAAGTTCCGAAGATTTCTCTGGTTCTGTAACGTCTATCAATTCTTTTTTCTTTATAATTTCTTCTTGAAGATCTTCAATAACCTTGGCTTTAAGAATTTCTTCTTCCGTAGGTTGTAATTGACTCTCCAAACCTGTAAATTCTTGCATAGAATCAGATAAATTCAAAATGAGTTCTTTTATTGGCTCCTCTGATTCTACTGATTTTATTTCCTCTGTTGATATATTTGTTTCCATCGATTCTTTCATTGATTCCATCATTTCTTCTACTCTATCTTCAATATTTGCTTCTTCTGGAATTTTCTTTGATTCGATCACTTCTTCAGAAGATTCGACAGGACAAATAATATCGTGAATGTGTTTTTCTTCTTGAGGAGAAAGAGGTGGCGTCAATTCAGAGTGGATTTGAAGTGGTCTTACGCAAACATCTTGTTCTTCGCTAAAATCTTCCGGCTTTATCTCTATTAGTGGCTTCGTGCACACTGGTTCATCTTCCTTTTCGTCAAACTGTATATTTGCAACCAAATCTTGCTTAACTATTTCGAACGCGCTTCCAGCTTCCGTGGAATATGCTTGATACGAATCAGTTGCTTTTATGTGCGATACTTGACAAACATCATTATTGTCCATTCCAAACGATTGGAAATTATAATTTCCAGGCATAAACTCTGGAGCATCCGGATGCAACGAAGATTGAACCGGTTTGGAAGACTGAATTTCTGCACTCTCAGTTGCCAAATCACTTTCCATTGCATCTGGAATCGGTGAGAGCGAAGAGGGCGTGTTACCATCGTTCGAGCAAATTTCTTTTTGCAATTCATTTCCAAGAAGGGCAGCATCCTCGCTGGTTTCATCTATGGGTTTCGTTTCATCTATGTCGGCGCTCGAAGGCGATAATGGTTGTTCATTATCAACAGAAACAGGTTCTTTTTCCGACTCGAATTCTCCCGAATAATTTTCGGTTAAGGGGGAGTGATCATATTTCGCAGTTTCTTGCGATTCTTGTTGATTGGAAGACTCCGGTTGCAAGTTTAGGAAGTCGACAGTGCTGGCTTTTAATTCGTCCGCGTGCTCGATGAAAGTATCTTCGCTGTAATCTTGTTGCGAAGACAGGTTCACGAATTCCGCGCGAATTTCAGATTTTTCCGTTTTATCTGTTATTGGTTTCTCGTTATTAGACGCAATTGATATTTTATCATTAACAGTATCATTTTCCAAGTTTGGAGATTTCGCCAAAAGTTCCTCCTCCTCTTCCTCCTCCTCCTCCTCCTTGTCCAAAATGCCGTTGGTTTCCTCTAAATCACTATTGCTCAAATCGTGGACGGCATTCAAATCGACACCTTTGTCGAACGCCGCTTCGAAGTCGCTAGGTGTGAAAGACATGGCCATTGGATCTTTAGCGATATCGTATTCACGCTCGCAGCTCGAGAACGATTCATCTATCGCGGAGATACCTGTTCTATGGAATTCACTAGCCGTTAAGAAACTGACCGAAGACTCGTCTCCGAATTCGGCCTTTGTCGATGATATTTCAGAATCATCCATATTTCCGGCAACAGGGGTTACCTTTTGCTTGTCAGCCAGAAAATCTGTATAATCGGTATTCTGTAAATTATCGCCATTTTGGTATTCTTTCTCCTCGTTGTCGACCTCTCTTGGTCGTTGGCATACTTCTTTCTCGAATTCGCTCTGGCTGGGCACTTGAATGTCGTCCATCTGTGGGACTTGTTTGAAAGGTGATCCAGAGACAGGGAAATCCTCAACCAGATCCATTCTCGTTCCCATAAATTGCGGTGAAACAGGAATGAATTCGGCCGCGTTAGGATTCAGTTGAAAATCCATATCCTTCAGCTTGTTTTCCTCCTCGATACAGGCTTCCTTGATCTTCTCCAGTTTTTCTTCTTTATCCTCAGCGCTAATCTACAATTCGTAAAGAATTGTAATATTTCTCGTTAAAGCGATGGCATTATAAAAACAATTATATTTTATATTTCAATGGATAAGCAAAATTTTATATGAATTAAAAAAATAATGATAAAAACATGATACAAACTTGAAAATGTTATTTTTTTTTTTTACCTCTGTGTTAATAAGCTCAGGCGATCCCTCTTTCGGACTTTCGCATTTAATATTCTCCCCTATGCTTTCAGATTGGATTTTCGACTCGGTTTCTTTGACAGGTAGCTCTGATGTTTCCTCACTTTCTTCTTCTATGTTTCTCGTTTTTTCGGGTTCGCCAACAGGCGTTTCGGAATTCTTTTCTTTGTTTGGATCAACTCGATAATAGTTCCACTCGTCTTCGGAATCCTCGCTCTCCGCTACATTATCTGGTTCGTGAATGAGCGCATGCTGAAGAGGTTCTGAAAAGAATTAACAATATAGAATTAACAAAATAATTGACAAAAAAAAAAAAAAAACAATCATTCGCTAAACTTAAATTTTCAATCCATGTAAAATTATTATCGATAAAACGAAGCAATTCGACGATTGGCTACAATTCGGCTCATCATTGAAAGAAATCAAAAATTGGGAAAATTATGCTATTTTTAGCATAATTCGTAAAAATTACGAATATGAATAATGGATATAGAATTCGGGTGGTTTATTTTATTTTTATTAATTAATTAAAAACAGGATATCTTTTTAGAAATAAAATTTTAAAAATCAAAACATCTTTTTTGCACAATATCAAGGTAATTATTTTTCTTTAGAGAACGATCCAATGCACCATCTTACGTAACAAGTTCCAACGAATTATACGAAGAAACATCTCGATCTTTTATTCTCGATTATTATAAAATGATGAATTCAATCATGTTTTCAAATTTCCACGAAAGAAAAAAAAAAAAAAAGAAAAGAGAGAAATCTTTACAATAATGTAATTAGAAAATTCGAACTTCACCATGGAATACTTCAAAATCGATATGATGCAACACCACGTATATATTCGATTGTGATGCAACACCTTAAACAAAATATTTCTTCATTTCGATTATATTCTCGTCGATTTTTATTAATTTTAACCTCGTCGCTTTCGAACATTTACAGATTTACAACACGAATTACATCACCAGCACAAAAGCAGAGCAAAAAAAGAGGAGATATACCAGAGTTAATCAACGTGTGCAGTATTTGGCAGCAAGAGTTAACCCTGGGACGGTCGGCGGCCGGACGCAACGTCACGATTTAACCCTAGGTCACTTATGACCCATACACTCCAAAATCGATAACGCGATTCACACTAAAACGAAATATTTAGAAACGAAAACAAGAGCAATTTAAACAACAACAACAATAATAAATTTATCTAATCCTGAAAAATATAATCCTGAAAAAAGGACCAAACGAAAAAATTCGAAAGAACGCAATGAAAAATCACCAATCGACGATGGAAAATCTACGCGAGAAGAGAATTACAGAAACGGATCAATTATAAATCGATCTTCCATTCTACATCCTCTTCCGTATAATTGGTAAACGAAATACAAAAGAGAAAAAAAAAAAATTAACCGACTTACTGCGTTCACAATATTAGTATATAAAAAAAAACAAGTACAAGTACTCACTAGAAGGAAACGAGGTAGGATATCTGGCCGCAGGAGCGATTGCCGGTGACTAAGAGGAACTACGCCCGCCAAGAGATGCATTATCGATCTAGTCTAGAGAGCCCCCGGAGCACCCCCTTCCGCGACGGCCCTGCCACCACCCACCTGTACCGGCACACCGTATAGCAACAGTCGCACCTCATCTCCGCCAGGAACGCCGCTCCTACGATTGGTCCTGGCCCCTGCACACAAGGTGACTCACCCGCCGCACGGTGCAGGGAATTTCGGTTTAAAGACGAGCGAGCGAGCGAGCAACCGGTGTTCCATCAATTTCCACTCGACGAGAGCTCCCCTTCGAGGAGAACGAGAGAGTTGGAGATGATACGGGTGGCGCGAAATCGAAACCAGCCCACCATTATGTTTCGTAACACGAGATGTTTCGTTGGAATAGATTTAGAAGCGGATCAGAAGTGGAATAGAATCCCTAACCTAAAAGGAGAGGCTTATCCTTATTTCACTCGGTATTCGGGCGTTATAGAGATATACGGTATTACGGTTTGTGGTTGTAGAGTTGATTATGGGAGAGATTACGGGTAGAGGGAGAGTGGTGGAGATCGATGGAAAATTTTCTATCTCGGTTTGTCGATCTTTTGTAAAGATGGTTGTAGAGTAAATCACGACGAAGATGTATCGAACGTGATGATGAGTTGAGGGAAAATTTCGTATGAGAATTTTTGTCGTGATATTTGCCGATTTTTTTTTTTTTTTATAGAATGTTATGAGAACATGATGATGAGTAGTGATAAAAATCGCGGATCATTTCGAATAAGAATTTTTATTACAATATTTATCGATCTTTCGTTTTATAGGGTTTTTTTTTTTTTACGACGAAGGAACATGATGGATAAAAAAGGACGGAAAATTTTTTCATTTTGGTTCTCCATTCGTTAAACTTTTGTTTCATTGGAAATAATTATGATGTTTATTGATTTGAGTTGAGGACGATGAGTGGAGTTGTACGGATTGATGGAAAATTTCGAATGGAATTTTTCTCCGAGATTTTAATGGTTTTGATCTGTCGTGGTGTATTAAAGTATGGAAGAATAGACTCTGACGTAGTCAGTGGAAAATGAGTAAAGCAAGGGGAGTTAATGAGCCAAGTTATTGAGACGAGCTAAGTGAACTGCGATGAACGTTCTACGTTTGACTTATGACGTTTTAATTCTTTTTCTTTTACTAATTTTTTTTTTTTTTTAAGATTAATCTGCAATAATTTAATCCTTCAAGATTTACGAGCAGAAAGAGGGAATAATTGAAAAGATCTTATAATTAAAATAATATTTGAAATTGTTGAAAAACATTAGTTTAATGATTCCTCCAAAAAAATGTACGTCATTATCAAGATTAATTTACATAATTTTCATTTGAGTCAGAAAATTTTGTTTCAAATTATATGTACAATTATAATTAATCTTTAAAAGTCATTATTAAATTCTGCAATTTATCATCAACTTATAATATTTTTTAATAAATAAAACCTCTGCCAAAATTATTGAAGCAAAAAGTAATAATCCTCATAAATCATACTAGCCTTCTCGATGAATTACTGTATGAATATTAAATTCAAAACTCTCGAATCGATAAATTATTTGCTAAGAATGTGAAATAAATAAATAAATAAATATATATATATATATATAAATTTAGAATCATTGTAATATAATTACTAATAAAGTTGTAAATATTGTAAAACATAAAAAACGTCATGCATAAAATAAATGGATTCTCGAAATTACTTACCATTGATAGAATTAAATGGAATATTTTCTTTGAAAAATGATTAAAACAAATAGAATAAAATATGTCTTTCCTTTTATAGCGATAACATAATATTATTATGATGTTGTAGAGTGCAATATTAATGATATGCAAATAACAAAGTAATGAATATTGATGAACAGTGAGGCAATGATTTTAACAAAGGAGAATAAAATATAATATAATTTGCACAATTATTTGGATAAATCCGTGTTTAAAAGAATTTCAGGATACAAAAGGAAGGATATTCAATGAGAAATTAAAAAATTCTTCATACATAGGTTTCATATTAAAAATAGAAATTCTGATATTTATTAATCTTTTTTATTTGCAAATCATGTATACTCACTTAATTATTTATTTATTTATTTTAGGTCGCAGTTATATTCTAAACTACAAGTAATATTCATTATCTACTATTTAATATCTATTTAATATTAAATAATAATTTTTTTTAATATAATATTTACCGTCGAACTTTCATAACAATTTATTACACCTCTGTAATGTGGCAAATCATTTCTTTTATTATTTAACGTATAATCAAAAAATTCTACGACTTCGTTCCCTGAAAATTAACATAACATTACATATATCAAATTAATATTGTATCCGCAATGAAATTTTTCAAACTTTTATCGAAATGTGAAATATTTAAAAATAAAAATAAACACTGATTGTAAAAAGATTATTTATATACTATCATAATATTTTAAATGGTTATTAGATGCTTATTAATCAATAATTTAATCGATATATCCATCTTTCCAAGAATTTTAAAAATTACGTTACTTTTAAACATTTTAGAAAGATATTCGAATGATGCAGCGAATTAACAATAAAAAGATAATTGTTGTTATGTTTTAAATATCGCGTAAGAGCAATAAGAATATTTTTATTAACATACCATTCCATTTTGCGTTTGGTAAAAATCCCATTTAAGCTAGATTATTATTATTATAACACTTATGTCATATATACATTGTTACACCAATAATATATTTACATGTAATCATGTACAAAGTATATTCAATAATCTGTTATATATTTCCATCATAAAATACTTTTGAAGTTATGGAAGTCGAAGGAGAATTTATAGTTTATATATAAAGTTTTCTTGCGTCGTAAAGAAAACGATAGATAGATCACCTTCAAATGCAATGAAAACACTTCCTTTTGGAAAATATATGCTTGAATATATCGAATTCTTTATTGTAAAATTAAATTCTAATGCTATTTTAAGATTGTCTGGGATATTACAAAACTAACTTTTGCAATAAAAACAAAATTGTATACATAGTATATATAATTTTCAATGAAATTTAATTCTAAACTTATTTAATTTCAACAATTTTTTTTTTTTTGATTTGTGTAATAATCTTGAAAATATTTATTATCTTTATCAGAATGTAACTGTTAAATATACATATATGTATATCTATGTACGACAAACATAACCTCTTAATAAGAAAAAATACGATGTGAAACTAATAATAGGATAAAATTTATATACAATAATGTTATTATATATTTTACGTAATCGAAGTCTCTAGAAGCCAGAAGCGTAAGTACACGTACACAGAAACAGGCCTTAAGGGATGCCAAAAAAAAAAGGGCAACCCACGCGGAGAACGTTGTCTTAACTCGTTCCTAATTCTAACGTTCCTTTACCACCAACGCGAATTCGTTCCAACGATCTCCGTGCGCAACTTTCGAGATATCTTTACCCGCCAAGTTTTCCTCTCAAGTCAAGAACTATTTTAGCCGGATAATTCTTTTTTTCTCTTGGTCGATTTTTTTTTCGATTATGCTCTGTCACGTTTAAGGGCTACGTTTCTTTCACAAATTTGAAATGAATTTCAATAATTATCGTTTTATATCAAATATGTTATAAGATTAGATTATAAATGATATCTAGTCTTATAAATAGAAATATTTTTTGCATTGTACATGTATCATTTATGTGCAAATTTAAATTTCTTATTATTATTTTAAAA